GATTAAATGCCACCTCATGCTGCAGGCCCAAAACCGACTCGTGCTTCTTTATAAGCGGATGCTGTGCAGCCAATGCACGCTCATAATAATCGGTAGCCAGATGCAGAATGTTTGCCTGATGATAGATGCGTCCAATGTTGTAGTAGATCTCCTGCTGGGCAGCACACGAGTCTGGTACATCGTTGCCTTTGTCAGGGTTGCCGCCGCCACGCAGTTCCGCATAGCGTAGAGCAAATGCTATCGCTTGGGCGACAGCTGCCGATTTGCGCAACACCTTCTTCTGCAGCGCCAGCTGGTTAAAGACAACGGCTATAGAGAGGGCGACCAGCGGATGCGGTTGCTCGCGCAGTATGGGCACATAAACATTCAGGGCATACTTGTACGAGCTACAGTTGAGGTGGTAATGGCCCAAAAAGAGGCGCATGGGCTGGGTGACTTTTGGATGACGCTGGAGCAGACGTCGTGCGTAGCGAAAGTAGCGCACCTCATCGCCCTGCTGCACCATCAGCGACAGCATGTTCCACAGATTGACGAGCTCCGGCTGCTTGGCAATCAGCTCGCGCAGATACGAGAATCCGATGGCGCAGTCGTGATTAAAATAGCAGGCGAGAATCATTAGGCGCTCGATCTCGTAGTGATAGTAGGTGAAACGCTTCGTGGTCACCATGGCGAAGCAGATGCGCTCAATGGCGCTATGCATGCCATGCGCATGGGCAGTCCGCACCAGCTCCAGGAACAAATCGTACTCATTCGTAATGGTCAGATCAGAGCCCTCAGCATTAGCTGTTCCTGTGGTCTTTAGTGTGTCCTGTCAAGAATTGATTTTATTATAAATTCAAGTGGAGTACTCGTTTCACCCACCTGTTGCTCCGTTTCAGTGCCGCCCGCCACATCGGACAGGCTGCGCATTTGCATGATGGCCTTGAGGCCCTCGGTGTTGTAGGCGCCGCCGCCATTGGCAGCGGCCATCATCTCCTCGCGATTCTTCAGCTTGATCGAGTGTCGGCCTAGTAGCACATAGCCAACATCAAGAAACTCCTCGATGCGGTTTATCTGCTGTAGCATTATGCAGCGCTCGTAGAGCAGGCGCGCATGCAGTGGCTGGCCCTCCTGTTCGCCAGACTGTTCTAGTGCCTTGACCGCCTCCTCCGGTCTGCCCTGCTGCTTGAGCAGTGCCGACAGCGTAAACTTTGCCTCATAGCAATACGGGGCCAGCTGAACGACACGCCCGTAACTCTGGATGGCCTCCTGGGTGCGATTCAGTTGACGCAAGCACTCGGCCTGACGCAGCCAAACGAATGCGGGACAATCAAAGGAATCGGCATCGGTAATGGGTCGCATTAGAGCAATCGCCTCGGCATATTTGTGCTCCTGCATCAGTGCCTCGGTTATATCCATATACAGCTCCAGGCGATCCACAGTTGGTGTAATATGCTCCTGCACATTCTGTACAATATAACCGAGCAAATGATGAGCGTGCATGTGTATGAGGCTGACGCAGAGCTTGGCACGCAGCTCAGGCACATAATCGTCGGGTATGTGACAGAAGTAGATGAGCTCCAGGCTCTCCTGCTCCGTCTCCAGCTCCAGTTTGGTGCGCTCCCGCAAACAGCGCAGCACTTTCGTGTATTGCTTGTTGAGTATGAGCAGCTCTAGATAGATGTTGAGATCCTCGACTGAGAAGCGGGCGCCACACACACAGTACGTGCCCTCCATGGCCTCTAGTGCAATGCTGTGCTTCTCAAGCACATGGAAATAACGTGCCACATTTTTGCCAGTGGTGAGGCACAAGCTCCACTCACCCGGCGGCATCAGCGGCAGCATTTTCAAGTACGTAAACATTGCCGCATTTGTCTCACCCATGCGCTCCAAGAGCTGTGCCTTGCGCAGCCGCAGCAGATAATCCTTGGGCAGCACCTTGATGGCTTTCGTGTAGCAGACGCGCGCGCGTGCCAGATGTCCCTGTTGCACCAGTAGATCCGAGATACGTATCCACATGTCACGATCCTGAGGATTTAGATGCGCTGCTATTGTGGAAAAATGCAAGAACTTGACCTCATCGCGATTCTCGTAGATCTCGGCCAGCGTGTAGAAGGGCTCGCTGGCCAGAGGATTCTGCCGTATGATTTCCATGCAAATGCGTTCGGCCATATCGAAGCGTCCATATGCGAACGACAAATTCGCCTCGCCCATCAGGCCCACCAAGGCGGCACTCAGTTGACTGCGGCGACCCAAACTTCCACCGCCACCGCCGCCGCCGCCGCCGCCACCACCACCACCACCACCGCCGGTTCCTGCGCGGCCACCAAACGTGTTCTTCGACTGTGCCTTTGTTGGCGTCAATTGCCTAGCAGCTGCTGCAGCGGCGCTTGTGGAGGCCTCTGGCTGTTCATTGCTCTTTTTGGCCGCCAAGTGTGCTGCCTCGTCATCGTCCTCCTCGTCCCCCGGTTCGAGTTTGGTGCAGAAATCGGGAAACTCCAGGCACTGAACGCCCTGCACATAGCGTCTGATTAGTGCGCCTTCCTCAGCGGCCGCCTTAGCGGCTTCGCTTGACTGCGACGCTGGATCATCGTCTTCCTCCAAGTCGATGATTTCCACAATGCGCAGCGGTTCCGTCAGTTCAAACTGCGCTAATTCGTTCTCCGGTACATCGTTGCTGTCGATTTCCTCTATTAGCACTTCATTCGCATCAAGTTTGCAGTTTTTATCTGTTTCCTGATTCTCGCTCATTTTCTTTATTTTAATAAACAGAAGACATATGTTTTTGGCGTCTCAAAACTTAACATTTTAAAGTACTGTTGTTAACATAGCCGAACAGAGATGCGCATAATTCTCTTATAAATTATCGATATTTACGATTGATATCGAAAACACTTCAGCAAAAATGTTCGTAACAAAAGCAGTAACAGAAAAGTAATTCTATTTCAGAAAATACATGTTATTTTTAATAATTTATGTTTTGAACAGAACATAAAACAGTTTTGTACAAAAATATTAAACAATAATTGCCTTAACGAGCACATATCCTTTCATAAAACTATATAACATTATATTAAGATAACATTCAGTTGAAAAACTGCTCCACAACTGTCCCATGATTGTAAATGTGTAGCTTGTAGGAGTAGACGTGCATGCATTTCTGTATGCTGAGCACAAGCGGCTCGAATGGATGGCAAATGAAGGCACATAGCTCGCGCGGAGTGAATTGACTGGGCGGCCTGTGCGCCTTGGTGTTGAAGCGAAACTTGATTAAATTGGTGGCACGATCGCGGAATACAATGGGCTCCACGGAGCAGGCCTTCGGACGTTCCAGTGGTGAGATGAGCTTGTCATCATAACTAAACACATTGTAGTTAAGATATGGAGATGTTGAAAAGCTCTGCGTGCTGACTGGCACGGTGGGATTGTAGCGCAGCGCTGCTTGACGCATAAAAGGCGCCGACTTGTTGGGATTTATGCAATTCTGTTGCATGAAATAGTGCGAGGAGGGCGAAGAAGGCGCATCGCCCGTTTGTAGCGAGCGCACATTGCACAATTTATCATAAAATTGCACCACTATTTGCAGAAGGTCCACAGAATCATCATGGTAGACGCCAAGCACTTCCTCGCTGCTCATGGCATAGAAGACATAGAGACGTCGCGGTGGCTGTGGTTCGCCCGTCACCAGAATGGGTGTCACATCGCTGTCCTTTGGCCGTTCCTCGTAGCGCAATAATAGAAAATCGCTATCGATTAGCTGCATCTTTTCAATAATCATGTTCTCTATCTGTAAGCATTATAAAATGGGGGCTTTTGAATGGTACGTGTGCAAAACGATGCAAGGCTTGGACACTTACAAAATCAAAATTCTTGTAGAAATCCTGATATTTTTGGCTCGCTTGTGGGCTATCCGGCTGTATCTGGCGGTACAAAAAACTCAACACTCGTTGTTTGATGTGCGTAATGGGCAACAAGGTGTTCACATCCAACATGACCATAAACATAGATGAGACGTCCTGGAATGCACAGTGGAGTGGCCGTGGACCGATTTCGTGCTCCTGTTTTATCAGCCGACCGTTGACCAGCTCATATATATAAATGCTTTGGCGCAGCCGTGACAATATTGCTATGGTGTGGCCATGCACTGAGATGCCGTGATTGTGTGACAAGGAGATGGCATCCTGAGGGAGGCGCACTTCATCAGTAACAACGCCTTGTTGCAAGTCCACAACGTAGAATATGTACGAGAATGGATCGACCTTATCGAAGACATCCGGATATCGTTCGTAGTCAGAGACAGCCAGGTTGCACCCCTGTAGTATGCACATTCCGGCAAGCAGCACATAGCGACTGTCCTCTAGGAAAACGCTAAACTCCCGATGCAGATAGAAACGTGCCGAGTCGCCTTGGCATAGACGCAACACGTATTTGGGCTTAAAGAGCTGCTCAAATATTGTACTTCTCAGATGGTTGCCATCTATTCTATCAATATAAGTCTCGGCGCTACCTACGCCAGCTTCGCTTAACAGCTGACTAACGCCAGATGTCCCTAAGCCCTTGTATGAGTACACTAGATTCAAATATGAACTGTATTAATGACTGTTGTCAAATGTATTCATAAGTTACCAATAAATGAACGCTGGTCGTGGGAGAAAGCCAATAGCTTGCTGCCATCCGGCGTGAATTTGCGCAGGTAAACAGGTGGTATTGAGATTCCAACCGTCAGGCATGGGGTAATTGCTTTATAGAACTGGCGCTCATATGATAGTTGAGGCGTTTGACTGAATTTATTTCGAGTGAAGCCCGATTCTCTATTTTGCAGCATATGCACAAGATTCTGCGTTTGCATACGCTGGTCAAACGACAGTTTTTCCAAAATCATAACAAAATGTTGCAAACAGAAAACGTAAATAACAAACAATATCGATATCGATAGGATTATCGCATAGCAACACAGTCCAAACAGTGTTACATAACGTATCGGCAAATTCGCAGCCAACTTCACGTGGTTCAAGGCGCGCTGGCAAATTTGGGCTTGTCGGATTTTAGAGCTAACGTGAATTCAAAAATTGACAATATAATAAACTAAGTGCAGATTTAATTTTTCATAATTGTTCTTTTCATAAAGTTTGTGCTTGTATGAATCGAGATTGAATGACTGTTATCGTTTAAGCATAGTGCTGCAAAGGAATATCAATTGCTGTAGCACTTGAAGTTGTCTGCGATCAATGCCATACGAAGCCAGATGACGCCTGTAACGGTACTTGCAGCATCTTCACTTGAATTCGACTATTTGTATATTTCGCGTGAAGTTTACCCAGTCTCTCCCTATGTATTGTCCGTGTGATTCTATATGTAGTTTGTTAGATGCAAAATGAACGTGAACGAACTAACACGTGAATCGAACTCGGTAATATAAGTACAAAGAGAACAAACTTACAACTCCTTTACATTTGCTTTCATGCGTTTCTTTCGCAGATGGACTTGCAATTATCATCAATTACTAGCTTGGTAAAATGTGGGAAGGCGAACTACCAAGTCAAAGCGAATGTCCGCGTGCGCAAGAAGTTTAGCGACGACGAAGAAGATTCGCCGACATCGGATGATGAAGAGGAAATGCAGAAGAAAAAGTGAGTACCACTAAGTAAAAAAAAAATTGCAAATATAAAATGCACGGTTTGTCTTGCAGGTTTATTGCTGTTATGCGCACTCTGCCACACTATGAGCCCAGCCAGACCTTGTTACAGGCCTTGGATGTAGAGTTTACCAACGAAAGCTTGGCAAAACATGACACCACTTTCGGTACATACCTGCAGACGCAGCTTCTTGACTCGGAGAATGTGTGCTCAGTGATGAGCATACTGCTCGGCATAGAGGATGTGTCGACAATGCAACTGTACGCCCAGCTTATGCAGCCCAATGTTCTGCTAAAGAAAGTTCAAAAACATTGCTTTAGTTTTGCGCTGGGCAAGACGCAAATCAATCCAGAGGAAGTTCTTGCGCCCTATATGGACGAGGCTGTGCTTATACCTAAGGCTAGCTTAGAGGCAGCACCTCTGCCTAAGCAGCCCATCCTAGCGCTGCTACCGCACACACACGAGACTCTGCCAAGAAAAGATCCAAGGCGCCGTTACGTTGCAAGCTTAGAGCAGGTGACGCGCACCAGCATCCATCTGAAATTCAAACGGGGCGGCTTTCCAGCCGGAGAATCTGCGCTTGCACAGCGATACCATGTGATCTTGCGTTCGCGCCGTACGCCCTTTCGCTTCATGTATCGTGCGATGCAGCTGCTTCAGGAGAATCCACAGCTGCGTCGATATTTGTTTCCCATCCAGGGGCTGCAAACAGTGACACCCAAAGTGATTAAATTACCAAATGTGACGCTATTTAACCAGAGCATTGCGTCCAACATGGAGCAACTGCAGGCAGTACAACATATCGTTAATGGCCCCAGCAGCCTAGCGCCCTACATAGTGTTCGGACCACCTGGTGAGTTTAGAAAAATTCTTAGATAAGGAGAATAATATAATATATAATGAATTCTTAAATCTCGTTTACAGGCACCGGCAAGACCACAACTATTGTCGAGGCCATCCTACAGTTGCGACTTCGACAGCCGAGAAGTCGCATTCTTGTAACTGCCGGTTCGAATTCGGCCTGCGACACGATTGCCTTGAGAATATGCGAGTATTTTGCTAGCAGTGAACGTCTGCAGGCGGCTTTGGTAGAGCGGGCAAAAGAGTCGCGTTTGGTTACAGAGGACGTGGAGCTTGATCATCAGCTAATGCGTCTCTTCTCGCGATCTGTTTATGCCAAAGGATTAAATGCGGTGGACCCTCTGCTCTTAAAACATTCTAATTGCAGAAAACGTGTGTATGAGCATTCTAATGTGAGCAGATTACGCAAGCATGGCATAATTGTGGCCACACTGTGCACAGTGGGCCGTCTAGTGACCTTAAATTTGGGAAAGTTTAACTTTTTCACACACATTTTCATTGATGAAGCGGGCGCCTCCACGGAACCCGAGTCGCTTATTGGAATAATGGGAATTAAGCAGCAGGACGCTTGCCATGTGATACTCTCGGGCGATCACAAGCAGCTCGGCGCAGTTATTAAGAACAATCGCGCAGCGCTTTTGGGCCTAAGACACTCGCTAATGGAGCGTCTGCTGCGCTGCGAACTATACGCCGTGGATGCCAATGGGAATTATGATCACACATTGCAGACACGACTGCGTCGTAACTATAGATCCCATCCGGAAATCGTTGGGCTGTATAACAAGCTGTATTATAATGATGAACTAATACCACAGGCGCCGCCGGAACAGGTCAATCTAGCAGCCAACTGGCGTATGTTACCCAATACCGAGTTTCCGATAATATTTCAAGCCACACATGGCGTGACAACGCGCGATGACCACTCCACCAGCTCATACAATATGCTAGAGGCTCAGGTGCTTTGCTGGTATGTGAAGAATTTGCTCTCTAACGGCCTTGGCGGTGGTATTCGCGTACAGCAGAAGGACATTGGCGTCGTGGCACCGTATGCGGCGCAGTGTAATTTTATCAATCAGCTGCTACGCCGTCAGGGTCACTACAATGTGGAGGTGGGCAGCGTGGAGAACTATCAGGGTCGGGAGAAAAATGTGATAATTGCCACGTTTGTGCGTTCCTTTGCCAGCATAGGTTTCATGCGTAATCCGCGTCGATTGAATGTGCTTATCTCGCGTGCTAAGTCCTTGATGATACTCATTGGCAACCCGGTGACGCTACGCTATCATCCCGACATTAGGTACATCATCAACCAGTGCAAGTTGCATGGCAACTATTTGTTTAAGAAAAAGGACGGACTGCAGCGACCAGAATTCCTTAATGATTTTGTTGAAGAAGAGTTCGAGTATAATGAAGATGAATTGGATAACGAAATGCAGGTTTGGTATGCCAAGATGCCCCAAGACATTCCCGTAGCATTGTCCAAGTGCCCACAGCAGGCCGCAGTTATAACGGGTAAGTTGATGGTTAACAATATGAAATCACAAAAGCAGCTGCTATAAAAAGAGTTTTCCACAGATGATAGCAGCAGCGGCAGCAACTCGGAAACCACTGAATCGCTTTCCGAAAGCAGCAGCTCGTGTGATTCTTCTAGCTCCGTCAACTGTCAATGCACACCACCACCAAATGCAACGTTGGACGCGCACATGGCTAAGCTAGCCTTAGGCAGTCCCGAAAAGATTGTCATTCGCACCAATTTCTTAAAGGCGTGCGCAGCCTGCACATTAGAAACTACCAAGCAAAAACTGCTGCAGCTGCAGTAAGTTAAGCAGAACCGTTTATATCATTAGTGTTGCAATTTGACTGCTCTCTCATTAGAAATCGCTTCAGAGGGGCCTGTAAGGTGTCTTAATTTTCAATTCAAGTTTATGCACATTGCCTAATAAGCTTAATCTTCAGTTTGCAAGTTTCAAGAGTTGTTCCCTTCGTGTTTATCACAACATTTGAATATTTGTTTGTTGTCAATTTACTTTTGTTTTATATTTATTTCATATTTTTTCCAGTATGTATTCATTTAAGTCAAGATTAAAGTTGCTGGGTCAGCTTAGTTGAAACAGTTCTATATTTAAATACTTTTTCGTATTTTTTTTAATCATGTATGAACAAAAGAAATAATTATAAGTATGTATTAATTTTATCCAGAAAAATGAATGTGCTATATCAGTTTAATGAATCCTCAGGAGCACAATTTATTATTACATTTAAAATGTCTGTCGAAAGTATTCACACGGCTGTGAAGTAAAAGAAAGAATTGATTTATTGAAAAATTAAACATGTAATAGCTTTAAGTAAATCGAGATGACTTTCATGAATGTCTGGGTTTAGTGAACGCCAAGAATTAGTTTCTCCGAATTTTAAAACTTATTTTTATCAAATACCGAACGCATTTGGAAAATACTAAAACTCTTAGAGAACAGCTTCAAAATAAATTTAAACCAATTATAATGAATATGAGAAGCAAATCCATTTATTTTGATTTTTATAAAGTCGAGTTAAATATGGTGTATCTAGATTATATTTAAGCAGTGACTATATTAAATTAGTAAACAGTTTACAAAATACAAATATAATTAAAGTGTTTAAGATTTCGAAAATTGTTTGAATTTTATTTGAATAGTTTCGTATAATTTTGTTTTCGAGTGGCTTTCAACGCTTTTCGTTTAAATTCGTTCAGTCTTTGTTAATTAACAACTTGGTTAAAAGTGTTTAAATGTTATACTTTAATAAAAGAAAAGAAAACTACATTCGTAATTACAATTAAGAAATATTTGAAAAATAAAATGCCAAGTTTCTTGTTATTTATGATTATTATTATATTGCATATGTTTTTGTTCGATTTCAAACCTTTACGTTTTTTTGATTATTATTATTATTAAAATATATTTAAGTAGCATATTGCATTTAGGGTATACATATATCAACGATCTCTCAAAAATTGTTTGCATGTAATAACTACATTTGGTATAAGAACCTCCTTCTTTCTCACAACCCGTTTCTGCCAAGCCAGCCAACAGGTTAGTTCCACCGCCGCAGCTCATTACTGTGTGAGTGTGTGTGTGTGTGTGCTTGTGTTCGTGTGTGTCTCTGCGTGTGTGTGTGTGCGACAACTACAACTACAAATAATAGTTCCTTGAGCTTAGAGCACAACGCGTCGAACGCCGCAATCCATGCAAAATTTAGCGTGCTCTATGACGAACTTGGCGCCACATTCGTGACAGAACTTGGACATTTTCATGCTCGAGCTCATGCCCGAGGAAACGTTTGAGGTGTTGCTATGCAGCGAAAGCTGCGATGTTGTAGGCGTTAAGTTAACACTCACACCATTATTGTTGTTGTTGTTTAAATTCTTTGCGTTAAGCTCATAGCTATTGTTGTTGTTGTTGTTGTTGCTGTTGTTATTGTAGGCTACCTGCGCTTGAGATTGCTGCTGATGTTGCTGCTGCTGCTGCTGCTGCTGGTAGTTGTAGTTTGTGTTTTGCTGCTGCTGCTGTTGTGGTTGCTGGGCCACTGTCACGGGCAGCGAGTGCTCCGAGCTGCTGCTGGAGTATTCAACGTTGCCATCGCCAGTGTCGCCGCCCAGGCCGTTGCCTGCAAACATGCGCTGTCGAGCCTTAAGTGTGCCATAGTTGCTTGCCGCTTGAGTTGAGGCATCCATCATGGACTGTTTGCCGGACATGGACAAGGCTCCACTGGCCGTGTGCGGGCGCAATTGGCTCTGGGTGCGCGGCGTGTTGTCGTTGGACTGCAGCTCGCTGGAGCGTTGACGGGACAGACTATATGGTGAGTTGCTGCTACATGATTGAAAATAAAAACATGTTGGTCAAAATAAAGCGCTATTGAAAGATTGGGTATCGCACCTACAAGCTACATAAATTTCCTATATCGATAAGTCGATGCTTTTGACTCACCTGCCGTAAGCGGAGTCGTTGCTGAGCTTGGAACTGGCGCCGCGACGTGATGACTGCGATGAGGACATGGGATATCCATCCAGGCTACTCAGCTCATCCGAATCACCGGATGGCGATGGTGTCATTACCTTTAGATCCTGTTGTGCTTGCATTTGCTGCTTCTGTTGGGCATGTTCCTGACGCTGCATGATATCACGACGCACCGAGGCGCCCACCTCCTCGCCCAGTTGCTTGAAATCGTTGCGCATTTTCTCTATCACATTCTTGGCATTATTGGCCTCCACATTGGGCGCTGGCGAGATCGCTGCTGCGCTCGCCGTTGAGCTCAGCCTTTTCTTATAACGACTGTGGCCAGTCTCATCAGCGAGCTCAGCATCGACCTGGTCCTCGTTATCGCTAATCTTGCTGAACTTGGCATGCTCCGGCTCGTTGCCGTTCTCAATGTGGAGCACATCGATGGGTGTCTGAGCATTGCCCACCATATGGCGCAGCGAATCCGGCGAGATGGGCGAACGCCCCTGTGCATTCGGTTCCGTTTCAATGCTTATAAAAATTTCACGCTTTTGCGACTCCGACTCCAACGACTTCTGTGACTTCTCCACATGGCAATTGTTGGTGCTGCTGCTGGTGGAGGCATTCGACTGCTGGCGCTGCAGTTTCTCATCACTGCTGGTCAACGGCGTCTTATATGAGCTATTGCTATTCGGTGGTGTTTTGTAGGATCCACTGCTATTTGGTGTTGTCTTGTAGGAGCCACAGCTGGCCTGTGGCGATTTGTATGAACCACCGCTACTGGACACATTTGAATCGGATCTGTGGGCATGAGTCTCTTTAGTGGAGGGCGCATAAAAATGGGTTTTAGGCGGTGTTATAAATTGGGAGGTGTTGCCTGTTGTGGCTGGTCTTTGTGTGACTGTTGGCGTCTGTGGTTGGGTCTGGGTCTGGGTCTGGTTCTGGGTCTGGGATTGTGTCTGTGATGTTGAAGTCGCTTTCTGGAACGAGCGTTGCCGGCTCGTCGTGCGATTCAGCAGAAACTCGCGGCAATCCCGAAACAGCGGAAATTGCTCCTCATCATTATCGTTCTCGAATGATGAGAGAAATTCCTCGAAATCAAAGTCATCAAACGTGGGCAGCACTGGCATATTGGGTAAATTCAATGGATTGGTGGTCAGCAGCTGTTTCTGCTGTTGCTGCCAGCACTGCTCGTCGAACTCCAGCGAGGAGCGGTTGGCCTCATCATCGGCACAGCTGCCCGATGAGATGTACTGCTCCTCTGGCGAGGCATCGTATAGAAATTGATTGCGCCCGAGACGCATCTTGCGCTTGAGCAGATTACGCGCCTCGCCGGAATGACGCCGCTGCTCCTGGGCCATTGTTATGGTTGACTGGGAGCTGCTGCGGCTCTGTGACAGCTGCTGTGGCGTGGAGCTGGCATCAGAAGAGCCGGCCGATGATTGCTGCACATTTAGATTATCGCAGGGATTGATCAGCTTGGGGTCTATGTAATCGCCCAAGCGATTGCTGCCAAAGATGCTCTCCAGCTTGATGGGTAATGGTGCAGCATTGCCACTGTTGTTGTTGTTGCTGTTGTTGTTGGTGTTTGGCGAGACCAAGTTTTGGGGTGGCTTGCTGAGCGGTTCTAGGCGCAGCGGCGTTGCAAAGTTGTGTGCCACATTCTCGTTGTTTTCCTTGGCGACTGGCGGGCAGATGGGCGTCGTCAGCGGTGGTAGCTGACCGCCGTTTGGGTTTGCCGTTAGATTCTTGGCCGAGTTCTGCTTGCTAAGGTTGTTGCTCTTGTCCTTCAGCTCCTTGCTGCTGAGCTCTTTGCTGTTGGCTGCCACCTCGGCAGCCTTCGCATTCAGCTGCTCCAGCTCGTGCTCGTACTTGAGGAATACGGCCAGCGAGTCGGTCTTGGCCACGTTGCGTGTCGTCGGTTGCTTGGACGTGGTCGTGCTGTCCGTCTCGCCGCCGCCACCCAGCGGCAGTTTCATTTGCTGCTTGCGGTTGGAGGCGCTCGTGTCGCGACGCACGACCCGCGGACTATGAAAATCATTGCCGCAAGCGGCACGCACTGGCATCTCGTCATACTCCTCCGGCTTGAGGAAGTTGCTAGAGATGGGACCCTCGTCGGAGAGGCCGCGCTGTATGGTGGGCCGATAGTTGCTGGCAAAGAGCGGTCGACTAGGCAGCAGTGGTGTGCGACGTGGTCCACGCAGCGATGAAGTGCGTCGAAAGTTCGATATGGGCGTCGCCTTTGGCGCTGTGCTTGTAGCGGTGGGTGTGGTCGTGTGTAGTTTGCCCAGTGTGCTCGTCAGCGATGTGGACATGATCGGTGTGGCTGTTGTGTTCACCAGTGGTTCGTTGTCGGGTGGTGTGTTGGGTGAGCAGAGCTCCTCCAGCTGACGTTTGGCGGACAGAAACGGATCGTACTTGTCGCTAGCCTGTGGACTGGGGCCGCTGTGTGTGCATGAAATGAACAAAAGCAAATTAGAGAGCAGAGAAAACATTTGAGTTTTGACACTAGAGATTATGTTAAGCCCCGCCGCCCCTCTGTGCGTCGCCTGGTTGTCGTCTGAAAGTATATACTATAACAAACCTCTTGACGAGTGTGCGATCTGAGCTGGGTGGCGAACGTGCTTGTCGCTTGGTTGGCGATGGCGGTGCCTTTATATACATGGTGCCCTCTTCATCCTGCTCCAGCAGCACCAGACGTCGGCTAACATTGGTTGGTGTTCTGCGCATCGATGACTTGACCGGCAACAGCTCTTGCTGTTGCTGCTGCTGCTGCTGCTGCTGCTGCTGCTCCTCCTCGCTAGACGCGCCGTCGTCCAATTCGTCATCGTATTCACTTTCTAGTAGCTTTGCCTTGCTTAGTAGCCGTCCCACTTCCATGTCAGCTTCATCGTAGTCTAGCTCATCCAGTTCTACATCCTCCAAGTCGTCGTCCTGTTCCTCTTTATAGTGCTCCTTTGAGACGTTGTCTCGTTCAAGGTGTGGCAGAAAGTTTTGGCCCAACGCCTCCAGATTTTGCTTGAGCTCTGCCATGGGCACTGCGCGCATTGGCTGCGAACTGTTCATGATCGCCGGCAGATGGGTGCGCTTCTTGGGACGGCATACAGTTTGAATGGTGCTCGTCTCCAGCTTGATTTGGATCTCGCCACGCGGTGAAGTTCCTTCGTCGTCCGAACCCGAGTATAAATCATGGGATGCTATGTGACGGAATGATGCCGCGCCTGGCATTGCGCGATGGCCCTGCTGTACATTGGCCAAAACCATCTCCTTGGAGGACAGGTCAAATTCGCTTGAAGACTTTGGTGGCTCCAGGGAGCGTATGTCAATGTTGGGATTCTCACGTGTGCGAATGCGGCGACGTGCTTGACGCACCAGCGAAGTGGAAGACTGTATCTTGGGCGATACCTTCAAATCCTGCTCCTCAATATCCATTTTTATGTTGCAAATATTTGTGCCACCTGCGGGCGTTGCAGCGTGCGGATCGAGAGTTGATTTCGTTGGGTTATAATAAGATTATAAATCAAATGAAATTCCCTTTCCACAAAATCTCTAGCTAGTCCCTATCAATTTTTTCCATCCTATACCTAGTTTAAAATCAATCTTAAAGAAGAACGGGTTTGAATATTCCTCGAAGAATCTCTTACGATTCACAAAGTACAATTCCAAGATACTCCATCTAGCTCTAGTCTGGAACCCTTTCAATCTATGGACTGCAACTACTAGAGCTTTATGCTTGGCTGATCTCTCAAATGCTTAAATGCGCTGCGCATTAATTACGAACCATCAAATTGTTCCGCAGCTTTGGAAACTAATTATGAAATCATTTGAAGTTAATGAAGTCGAAGCACGCTTGCGAGATGCGGAACCCTATGGAACTAATCTCAGGAATAGAGTGGCAAGTAGAGCATTGCAATAATGCTGATTAGTTTCTGGAAAAGAACTTTTCTCAGCTGCTTTAGCTACTAAACTGATCCACTATATGGCCTGCAATTTACATCGACCATACCTTTGCGCTTGATCAACCCATTAAGCTCCTCAAAGGTCATTGTTACTTGGGGTGGACCGGCCATGCATTCTGGCGCTTCGGCCTTATGGCGATGCGACATAGTTTTACGCGATCTGGCGGGCTGCAGTGGCGCGGCCTCTGCGCACTCCAATTTGGCCAGATGTAAAGTTTCCGAGGTAGCGGTTCGCCGCAAACGCTGCACGGCGACATCGATTTCTTGGCAGGTTTCATGCTGTTTACGCCTGGGATTCACATATGCACGATCCTTCTGGCCCAGGTTTGACTCCTCGGCGGCCATACGCACACTAACTTTATTCGGGACAACCATTGCTGTTGAACTGGAGTTTGCCTTGGATTTGCGTGGCGAGCACTGTCCTTGAGGGGTTCCAGGGCGCTGCATCTTCATTGCTTGTGGCGCACCTCGCTGCGAGCTAAGTTGATTTTTGGGTGGGGTTGGGCTTTAGGTCAATGGCTAATATACGAAGATCATTTGCTACGAATACATTGTGAGTGAGCGGTACACTACGCGACGGTGTCTACTGGGCAAACATTACTGCGGGATTAGTCAACTTCAACGACAACCATTAGCGTAACGCCAGATGGGCCAATCATATGTTAGGCTAGTTAGTCTACAAATCAAATGGGGACATTTGCTATACTCACTTAACACTCTGCACGGACGTTGTCATGGAGGAGAGCGACATTAGGTTTTGCTTTGGGGATACCATTTCAATCTCGTATTGTTCTTCCTGTGCACCGGAGTACTTGTCGCGATTGATCGAGCGTTTGGTTCTGAAACAAAGAAAAGAAAATTAAAAGAAAAACAAAATGTACATGAACAGAATGTAGAAGAAATAATTGAATTGTGTCAAATCTGACAGCTGGCGATAAGGAGGGCATTCTAAATTCTTACTTGAGATTAGGCGGGCGGTACTGCTTGCGCGCCTCCATGCGCTCCTTGGCCTTGTTCGTCTCTGTGGTGCTGTTGGACTTGATGTTTGCCTGAATCGCCTTCTCCTTGCACCACTCAACGTGCCGATCGTAGGCCTTGGGATTGAAGCTGCGCTCACAATGCGGACAACGGTCCGAGGCGGAGTCCTTAAGGCGTTTAGTTATGGAACGTGGTGGAGCGGCTGCAGCTGGGGCAGCTGGTGCTGCTGCTGCAGGATGCTCAGCAGCAGCTGCAGTGGCCCCAGCACCTTTGCGCAGGGAGGCGCGTGCCGTATCCGCTTTGCCTTTACGGCGTGTCGGCAATGGTGAAGCCTGCCAAGAAGAAGTACGACGTTAGAAAAAATGTGTGCTGTCTTAGAGGAGCATTACTCGCCTCTTGTGGCTGCGAGCCGCTGGACATTGTGGAAGCCTCGCGACTGGCTGCCGGTGGCGTATGCACACCCGGAGCCTTTTCTGCATTGGGCAGGCCAAAATTCTTGGGCAGCACATAGGTGGACAGAGAGGTGCCCTCGCGACGCTGACGTGATGAATCGAATATCTTACGCTTTTTGGTAGTCATCTTCTCGCAAACGACAACATGCTTGCGGAGTGCATTCAGATTGAAGGTGCGACTGCAGTTCGGACAGGGTGTTAGATCAGTGCTAATAGCTCCCTGCTCCAAAATAGTCTCAGACATGCCCGTGGTCAGTGGACCCGGCGGTGGGCCAACTGGCTCTTTATCATCATCCGCACCGTCAGATTCCATCGTAGCTGTTGTTTCCCGACAAAATTATGAAAATAAAAAAATGGATTTTGATTATTATTGGATTGTGAGGCTTCAGTTGGCTGGGAAACTTTTGCAATGTCTGGTAGATTCTGTATAGCTTGAAACCTAAAACTAAATTTTACAATTCTAAGCAAAAGTAACAAAATCAAAACTCCAACTGAGACAGCCTTCTATGATGATCAGATTTCGCTTTCCTACTTTGGGTAACAGCTTTTAAGTTTCATTTATCTATAGTCTTGAAATTTCAGACGAAGACGGCATCACCAGTCAATATCAAATATTTATTATTAATAAACAGGGCACATCACGCAGATTGCCGACTTTTGCAACCAGTTCAAGCTTTGGACGAGTAGGAAAAATTAATATGGCAATAGTAGAATTTACATGTTCCATATTTTCTAGACCAATTAGAAAGTCCATGTAGACACAGTTAGAACTTAAAAGTGCGAAAAGAAAGTGACAAAGAAGAAACTTTGTCAGCTGGAAAAAATGATGGCAAAAGGAAGTGCCCAGTAAAAGGCCAAACCCGTCTGCAGACTGTTGGCCTTTGGCCAAGTGGCACGGCTTAGACTTGGGCCAGAAACCCTAAAACTTTCCAGTCGCACTCGCTGCATGCAACACATGGAAAGTATTTTCATATCACATGCCAGCATTTTCATGTTGTTGCAGTCGTTTGTTTTTTTTGTTTTTGTGGACAAATTGCTTTTCCGGCGCCATTTGTCACGTCAGCAATAACAAGCACAGAAAACGCCCAAAAAGCAGCCCTATAAATTCTCAGACCGGCAAGACAATAGACAAAACAGATAAAGCAATCCACAAATAATTTATTATTATTATTTGGATTGTGTCTGGTTTTGGCTGCCATAGCCTGTGTGATCGGCCTATAAATTGTTATTTATCTGCGAGCGACAACTGCCTCATGAAATGTTGTAATAGCCAAATTTGGCAGCTCGTCTGTACCAAAACTATTGCGATTTGGTTGGTTCGGTTTGCTTTGTGGGCGACTGCTTTTATAATTGTATCTTCAAGATACAAACTATGCACATGACAGGTGCTTCAGCACAACTGCCCACGGCTCACTTGACTTCTGCTGGATTGAAGTTGAACCCAAACATGTGAGAATCTTATTAGATAGAACTGAATTGAAGGCTGGTTTTCAAGAAGTTCCCTAGTTCTCACATACAAGTATGTTTTATGTTTAATTAAGCTATTCAAACTCTTATGCTGCACATACAAAAATAATAATGAAAGTTTTCTGAGTTTCCTAGTGAAACGCATCAATTTCAAAGAACCTCGTTTTGGCCAGGCCAGCAATATCATATTAAAGCTAAATATTTGTAGTCCAGCTGGCACTGAACGCTAAAAGTCTAAATAAACTTTGCGTGTGCGATTAGGAATTTGAATAGGAATCAACTTGTGTGCCTTTTAGTGGAAATTATGACATACGATTCACGCTGCCAATTTAACAATAATTCCAAGACAATCCAATTATAACTAAGATTACATAAATCAGCGGCACGCATAAATTTCTGCAACATGTTGCGAGTTGGCTTCAAGCTCGTCTCGTTCGCTCATTCATTTCAATTCAAATCAATGCTAGCTTGTACGCAGTCTTTTTTAATGTGTAATCCGATGAGAAGTGGGTGAGTGACTGCCTCAATGGAAGATATGCTGCTGCTGCTGCTACACACTCGTAGGTGATGGGGCGTCCGTTTCACATGACAGCCTCGGCTTCGATGGCTGCACCACCAACTGCCCCAGCACCACAATTCACATATGTTAATGATGCTTGGCGAACTCGCAGTTGCAAAATATAGATACAGATGCAGAGCTACTGTGGCCATTATAAGATTATATATGCATATCTTTCAACTATTTCCACTTGAGTTTTATAAATAAAAAGTGCGCCGACTGGCCAGCAAAAGGAGCAAATTGCCTAAACAGCAGGGCGCCCCTGTCTTCATCGAGTCTAAGCAGATCTTTGATTTATGCAGATAGTAATAATCGGTCTAAGTGCTTAAAGTTCAAGAGTTCGAGAGTTTACTGGAACAAACCCAAATGGTATAAGTACTATTTCCTGGATCTTAAAAGAAGCGAGAGCTTAGCATATGAATGTATAAAGAATATTAAGTAAAAAAATTCAAAAATTATGTTTATTAACTTGGGGTACTGATATATTAGGAGAAAAAGTAAGTGTGGAAGATATGAACTTTGTGAGTAGATATTAAGTTAAAAAAAAATAATATTTGTATATATAGTTTATTATTTTATATTTATGTTGATTTCAGATAGTATAGTCACATGGTATTTTATCTGTCACGAACAAAATCTGCTTCGATTTCATAAGAAAGATCTTAAAGAGGTGCCCAACCAAATCTGGCTGAGATCTTGGCCGTCCGTGTGCCGTTTGTATTGCAGTTGTTGCTGCTGTGCATTGGGTAACCTTATAAGCCATTTAATTCTTCAACAGATCCATTTATGCAACATGTGAAACACTTTCATGTGGAAAGGCTATAGAGTCTATGCCATAATATGCTGAGGTTGGGCCTGAGCCAACGACTTTGTTATGCGAGATATTTCCTGGTGCCCCGAACTTTCAACTTGTCACAGCTTAATGGATGAAAAGTGTGTGGAAAGAGAATATTAACTGAACAGTCGAGTTAGGAACCAAACACATATGCATATAGCATGTTCCTGTGTGTAATACTGGTTATAAGTAGTTTGTTTTAAGTTTGTCTACATATGCTCTGGTCTATTTTAGTTGGGTTTGCTTTTTAAATAAATGTGTTCCTATTGATGGCCAAGCGACATCATTTGTTGTATTGTCTGCTGATAAGCATATAGAAAAAGTCATCGAAAGGTCTACAACAAATTATTTATAAACAGAATCCCAAAAAGAGATTAAACAAATAAAAAGCATTTGTGAAATACTTCAAAGTTAAGAGCATATATAGACATATAGGTAGATAGATAGGTAGATAGATGATTTTTAGATATTATCAATTGTAGAAATTTAGATACATATGCATATAGTTCAGACAGTAAGATAAGCAGAAGAATACGTTGATATATAGATGATAAAATGATCATATCAACTTTCAAGTAAACAATAAACTGAGACATTCTTTATCTAGATAGAATTATTAATACAATATATCTAATGTAGCTAGCTTGATGGATAAACAAATGGATGTTAAGAAGACCAGATAGTTTTAAAATATATGTATACAGATTTGTAAGGTGAATGAATAGGCAAATAAGTAAAAGAATGCCCGGATACATGGGTGAGCAGAGTGTGTGCACAGATACTTTTTAAGATATATTGTATGCATAAATATTTACTCAGGTAGTTAGTGCTAAATCATATATTATATTTGATTTGATCATGTGGATATCTTATGCAGGTAGATTATCTATCTAGGTGATAAGTAAGATTAAATATACAATGAGCAGTCAAGTCCTTATATAGTCATTATGCAGTTGATATCTATGTACCTATATATAGCTGAAATATCTGAAATTATCTTTGTTGTTTTATTCATTATAGACATAAATAAACTATTAAAGTATTAAGTTCAACTCTTTCACAGCTAGCCACCCTGTTGCCCCTCTGTGCTACTTTCACGCCAGCAAATTGACAGCTGTAAATCATCATTGAAAATCATTTAAATATTATTAAAACGGTTTAGCCAATTGTCAGCTGCAAGCAATAGTTTATCAATTGTTATTAATTTACTTGAATGAGCTGTTGCTGTTGTTGTTGTTGTTGTTGTTGGCTTGGCATGCAAATGATTAGCGGAGTTAGTAGCAGTATTAGTTGTTGTTGTTGCTGTTGTTGCTGCTGCTGTTGCAACTGTTGTTGCTGCTGCTGCGACATCGAACTGATTGACTATAATCAAAACATGCTGCAGCTGTGCAGCTCCCACAGCTGTGGGCGTAGGCGTGGGCGTGACCGACTCACTTGACTTGGCATTGGGCGTTTGCTTCTTGTTGTTGCTGCTGCTGCTGTTGTTGTTGTTGTTGTTGTTGCGTCTCAGTGAGAATGTGTTGCGTACGCGCGAAAATGTTGATAGATGTTGCGATTGTTGCTGCTGCTGCGGCAACGGTTGCTGCTGCTGTTGCGCCTCACTAAGCGCCGCCGAGTTGAAAGAACTTTGCTGCGGCTGCTGCTCAAACACATTAATGTTGCCGCTGCCGCTGCTGCAATTGTTGTTGCTGTTGCTATTATTGTTGCCGTTTTCGTTTTCATTTTCACTGCAAAAACGCGAAACTGGCGATTTTTCACCATTGAGCAGCTCATTTAATTGCTGATACTCCTCGTAGATGCCGCGACTGTGGCGCTTATTGATTTTATTCAATTGCTGCTGCTGTTTTTGCGCCTTCGATTTGAATATTTTGTGCCACATTTTCTTGCTCATTTTCTACGTTTTTTATATGTATATGCGTTTTTTTTTCGATTTTTCGTTATTTTTATTTCGTTATTTTTAAATGCCGCATTGCAGCGCACGCACGCGCTTCCCTTTGCCCAATTTGCCGCTCTTGCAAACTTCACGCGCCCGCGTTTTGTGTCCAACTGAGCGCTGGCAACATCAACAGCTCGCCGACTGGCAACATTTAAGCTCGCCTCATGTTGCCGGCAACAGCTTTAAAAACAGCATGTTGCGGGCGCATATTTTGCATTTAATTAAAAATAGCTGCACTCCAGCTGCCTGCGCTTGACGTTGTGTGGGTGTTGCAACAGCAGCAGCAACAACAACAACAACAACAACAACACGTTAAGTAACAAAGGCTGCTATTCTTTGTAGCCTGCACCCCTCCGGCTTGGCTTTACGGCTGATTTATTTAAAGGCGCCGCACAAATGTTGCTGAACTTTGGCTGCTTAGATATATATTTTTTTCACTTAGCTTGCATTCAAATAGTTGGCTGCGTTTTCTTCTAATTTTCTTCTTCATTTGAAATTGAATTTTTGGATTTAGCGACTTC